AAATGAATAAAATTTTATTTTTTAAAAGGAGATAGAACTAATAGGCATAAGAAGCACAAAGCCCAGGACTGAGAGCAATTTGCAGAGACTTTCTGGAAATCTGGCTTTTTCCAAAAAAGATTCAAGGAAATCTGAGCTGAGCAGAATGTTGGGAAGGATCTCCCCTCTGAGGGGCGCCCTGTCAATGCAGTGTGGACCTCGTGCCCTAGCGAGTGCATGCCTGTGGCCTTACACTCCACCTCAGTCCTGGGACAACTTCAATATGCCACAACGCTGCATCTGGGCTCAGTATGTGGGTCTGGACTGCTGGCCGCAGTTTTAAGTGCTGCTAAATTGGACAGGCCACCTTGTATTAGTAAAACTGCAACTGATATTATCGCTAAAGCGATGACCTCCTCTTTCTGACCTTCCTGGCCTAGTACCTGGTGTGAGACAAACCTAGTGAGGACACAAAGTTCTCACCTCCTTCAGTGAGGAAGCCATTACTCAATGTCCTCTCTTCATCTTTGTGTTAGAATTCCACCTGCACACCAAACGCACCAATCCTCCTCCCTGCTCTACTTTTCTCCATAGTACTCATATTACCAGTTCCTCATACAGGGCCTACCCCACTTTTTTATTGTGATTAAGGATTATCCCCGTGAGAAGTACACCCTGTGAGTACAGAGGTTTTTGCCTATTTTCATTTCATTCACTGCCAACTTCCCAGCACCTGAACTATTTATTACCTGGCACTGAATAGGCCCCTCAGTAAAAATTTATCCAGTTAACAGATGAAGAGTTTTGATATGATCTATCATGCTATTCACTGGTAGGATAAAAAGAGAGTTATTTTAAGAAGAAATGCACATGGCTACTGGATTTCAAAAAGCCTGTGAACTATCTGAGTTTTCTACAATTTATTTTTGCCTTCCTGAGTCTGAGAAAACAAGATTTAGAAGGCTTATGAAGCTTCTTAGGTGAACAGGTCTAAACAGAGGATACTTTATGAAAATGAGAAGAAGATAATGTAAAAGGTACAGAAACAAGACTGTTTTACTCTTGGGTACAGTCTGATTTTAAGACACTTTGCTGCTGCTGATACAAATAGACTCCCTGCCCTACTACTTTTTAACCCTCTGAGCTGGGCCTTGGCCGAGGCCTGTTCTCATCCCTGTTTCCTTCTCACTCTCTGTCCAAAGTCCTGAGGCTAGGAGAGGGGAGTTGTGGTGCCAGCATGTTCAGAAAAAATTTTTAGTATGTTTTATTAATTATGCCATTACAGTCGTTCTATTTCCCCCTTTCATTCCCTTCTACCCTGCACACCCTCTCCCTTACCATTCCCCTCCTTTACTTTATGACCACATGTCTCAAGTTCTTTAGATTCTATATTTTCCATACTATTCTTACCCTCCCCCTATCTATTTTTTATCTACTGTCTATGCTACTTATTTTCTGTACCTTCTCCCCCCTTCTCCTCCTCCCACTCCCCTGTTGCTAACCCTCCATGTGATCTTCATTTCTATGGTTCACTCCCGATCTAGCTGTCCTCTTAGTTTGCTTTTGTTTTAGGTGTGGTTATTCATAACTGTGAGTTTACTGTCCTTTCACTGTTCATATTTTTTATCTTCTTTTTCTGAGGTAAGTCCCTGTAATATTTCATAAAATAAGGGCTTGGTGATGATGAACTCCTTGAATTTGACCTTATCTGAGAAGCACTTTATCTGCCCTTCCATTCTAAGTGAAAGCTTTACTGGATAGAGCAATCTTGGATGTAGATCTTTGGATTCATGACTTGGAATACCTCTTTCCAGCCCCTTCTTGCCTGTAAGGTCTCTTTTGAGAAATCAGCTGACAGTCTGATGGGAACTCCTTTGTAGGTGACTGTCCCCTTATCTCTTGCTGTTTCTAGGATTCTCTCCTTCATTTTAATCTTGGCTAATGTAATGATGATGTGCCTTGGTGTGTTCCTTCTTGGGTCCAACTTCTTTGGGACTCTCTTAGCTTCCTGGATTTCCTGGAAATCTATTTCCTTAGCCAGATTGGGGAAGTTCTCCTTTATTATTTGTTCAAATAAGTTTTCCACTGGTGATTGTTCCTCTTCCCCTTCTGGTGCCCCTATAATTTGGATGTTGGAATGTTTAAAGATGTCCTGAAGGTTCCTAAGCCTCTCTTCATTTTTTTGAATTCTTGTTTCTTCATATTTTTCTGCTTGGTCGTTTTTTTCTTCCTTCTGGTCCACTCCTTTGATCTGAGTCCCAGTTTCCTTTCCATTACTATTGGTTTCCTGTGTATTTCCCTTCATTTCAATTAGTTTAGCTTCCATATGTTCCTCTAATTTGTGACTAAAATTAACCAGTTCTGTGAGCATCCTGATCACCAGTGTTTTGAACTGTACATCTGAAAGTTTGGCTATTTCTTCATTGCTTAGATTTATCAGCTCTGGGGCTCTGAGTTGTTCTTGAGCCATGTTTTGATCTGTTCATGCCTGCTATGTATGAGGAGTGGAACCTTAGTTGTTCACCAGGGTGGGGCCACCCAGGTCGCTGGTTTGTGACACTGTATGTGGGGGCGGAGTCAGAGAGGGACAATGGCGGTTCCCTCTGCCCCTTCCTGCCACTGGGGCCTGCATGGTCTGTCTCACTGCTCGATCCTTCACTGGTTTATCTGCACATGAATGAGTGACCGGGGTCAACCCTCAGTGGTTCAGCCACCTTTCACCCTCAGTGGGTCCGCCCACTACTCCACACCTGGGATCCGCCCTCGGCTGCTGGTGTGCCTGGGTTGCACGCCCTGGTCAGTCTGGTGGATCTTTCCTGCCCGACCCTGCTCTGCTGCTGGCCCTGCCCCTCTTACCAGTCTGGCTGAAGGGTCTGAAGGGTTCATTGTCAGACTTCCATATAGTTCAATTTCTGTGGTTTGGCTGTGTTTTTGTTGCTAAAACTTTATTGTTTTTAAACTTAGCTGTGCGAGAAGGCACACCTACACCTCCATCTTGGCAGAAGTCAGCATGTTCAAAATTTTTAACAAAATGGGGTAAAGGTATAGGAAAGCTGGGACTGAGTAAGTAGAAGGGTGTGTGTGGGAGTTAGCAATTTTAAAGGGGGTGTCTAGCCCTGACCAGGATGTTCCCCATGAAGCGAAGGGTCACTGGTTCGATCCCCAGTCAGGGCACAAGCCTGGGTTTCAGGTTTGGTCCCAGGTTGGGGTGTGTACAAGAGGCAAGAGATCAATGTTTCTCTGTCACATGAATGTTTCTTTCCCTTTGTCCCTCCCCTTATCCTCTGACCATAAATAAGTAAATAAATAAGTAAATAAACCTTTAAATGAAAAAAATAAAGAGGTGTCTATTCAATGGGAAAAGTAAAACAACTTCTAGAGGAAAACAGAAAAATATTTTCATGACCTTGAAAGACACAAAATTTCTTAATCAGGATACAAAAAGCACTAACCATTAGAGAAAAGACTAATAAATTAGACTTAACTAAAATTAAGAACTTTGGTCAACAAAAATTCAAAACACCGTGACAGAAGATATTTGCAATTATACATCTATTGGACAAAGGACCAGTATCCAGAATATATGAAGGACTCCTGAAAGCAGTAGGGACAACCTGATTTTAAAAATGGGTAAAAGGCCTGAGCAGGAATATCCAAAGGAGACTACCCAACTGTCTAATTAACCTATGAAGAGGTGTTCAACCTCATTAGCCAGCAGAGAAATGCAAATCACAGTTACAGTGAGACACCACTACACACTCAACCAATGACCAAGAATAACAGGACTAACAACACCAGTACTGATAATAATGTAAAAACAGATCTCTCACACACTGCTTCTGGGAGGAAGCTTGTAGAACTGCTTCAGAAATCTGTTTGGCACTGTCTAATGTATGTTCTTGACTGCATGCCTACCCTGTAGCCCACTAATTCCATCAGTCACTGATCCATAGGAATGAGGATGTATGTGTTCCAAAGGACATGTGCATGAACATAACAGTACTATTTATCATAGCCCCAGACTAGAAATAACCCATCTGGCCATCAATAACAGAATGGATAAATAAATAATGGTATGATCATATAATAGGTTACTCAATGGTAAAGAAAATAAACTATGGCTATATGCAATACAAATGGATCAACCTATAGGTTTATATGGCTAAAACTACAGCTATAGGCAACAAGCTACATGGATAAATCTTAATACTGTGTGACAAGCCAGGTCCAAACATTATAGACTTTATAGAAAACCACGAGGGAAAGCACCGAGGGGACAGCTGTCGTTGGGCATAGTGAGGGCTGTGACTGAGGAACCAGCCGTGCTCAGTTCCTGACGAGATTGGGTGTGTTCAGGGCGTTATGGTCACAGACTCGGTTTCCAGATGCGAGCACTGACGACATGGTTTTCACTTCACAATTCATGAAACTAATTTACATTTGATGTACTTTTACCTTTGTGTACATATGATACTTCATAGTGAAAAGCTTAAACTTGTATCAGATACTACTTTCTTGTCTAACTTTCACAGAAAACAAATACTTTTCTGATAAACTGAAGTTCCCAAACTAAAGGCAAGCAACTCAAAGTAAAGAGAAATTTTGAAAGCTCAGGTATATGGGACCTTTAGGTGAGTTAGGAAAAGGTACCCTTTTGGGGTAGATGCTTCAGCAAAGCTGTGTCCTTAGGCAGATGCAACCTGCTGGGTGCCCTGGTTGGGGGTTTGGCTCTCCTCTCACAAAGGGAAGACAGCCCTTCCCATGATACAGGGAGCGTGGCATTTCACAGCACAGTGGGTGGGATACAGTGCAGACTGGCTTTTGGTGCCACTACCTCTCTGTCTAGACACATTTGCACAGAGCAAAGATGGAAAAGTCTACCTGGCTGCCCACCTAGGAAACTGGCAAGATGACAATGACATGCCCACTGGCCTCTGCAAGCCTATGCACGCACAGAGCACTTCCTGGCACAGACGACCCCTGTCCAGAGCTGGCTGGAGCTGGCCAACATGGCCCCTTACCTCGTAGCCTTCTGTTTTCTTCTGGCACCACTTTAGCAGAGCGTTGCGCTTGGAGCCACCGTATTCCCGGGCCAAGGCGGCCAGAGGGTCTCTTCTTTCCACACTAGTTAGAAAGAAAAAAGAGCACACAGTAAAGAGAAGTTCTGACAAATTAACAAGTCGTCAGAACCCTCAAATACGTAAGAAATAAATAATTAGATTAGAAAAGCAAGTCTAGGTCATTCCAGTGAGACTGAAGAAAAACAATCAAATCAGTCACATTAACAATACACTGTTATGTCTCATGGTATGAAAGAAAAATTAAATTATGTTTCTTGGCTATTGAAGTCTAGAAAGATTTTTTTATTTTTAAATCTATCTGTTGCTCTAGTTACCTAGTCTTTTATTTATTTGCTTAAGTACAGGATTATTTCAATGAAAGATACCTAAAGAAAAAGCACTTTCCATGTTTTCAGGCCACACCACAGCTACATGTTGTATAAAGGCAGGTTAGAAGGGCTGCTTATGGTGATGGGAATGGAAATGAAAGGCAAAAATCAATAAAGATGACTCATGGTCTAAAGGTGGCATAGTCCTCAGTTCATGGTACATTAACTGAATTTTGAGCTTCCATTTGGCCAAAGGAAGTGATTTTACCCAATACTATGGCATTCTGAGAATAAGAGTTTATGTGCCCCCTCTTCAATTTCTCTATAACAGTTCTGTTAATGTGTAAGTTTTTATACTACCTAAAATTATCCAAATTCTAGAAAGGGACTTCAGACAATACTGTTCCTTCCATGAAGAATGCAGGAGAGGGCGATGGTTCTTCTGCCCCAGGGGAACATTCTCTACCCCTGGCTCTGTGTGCAGGAGCAGAGCAGGGGGCGGGATGCCTCTGGAGTAGCAACTGTAGCAGGCAACAGTTTAAGAGAAGCAGGGATTTACTCCTAGCTGTACACATCATCAGGGCACAAGAATGTTCGTAGCAGTGTGGCAGGCAGTAGACAGGCCTGAGCACAGCAAGGATGATCGGCCAGTTTCAGAAGGTCACCAGGGCAGAAAGCTTCGGGTGCCTAGCAACGAGCAACACTGGAAAAATAAGAACTTCATCCTGAGGGTGACCTTTCCTCCCCTAGCATATCCCTGGTCATACAGTTCAGAGCCCCTGACCTTTCATATCACTGGTCAAGTGGTTTGAACCATGCTCTGACCTTTCCTTCCCTGATATGTTGGTAGTTGTGCGGGAGACTCCCTTGGAGGAAGAACAAGGAGCTGAAGAGTGTCCTTATGTGACTCCCAGGTGGGCTCTGGTGCTTCCACCCCCTTAAGTATTAACCCTGAGGAACAACATCCAGGCCTCTGTTGTGTTTCAGCTCCAGGCCCAGAAAAGCAGCAAAACCAGACCAGCAACACCATGCTGACCTCAGGACCAGCCTCACTGACTAATGATCCCCTGCCCTAACCAAACCCTGAGGGGACACACTGGACAGCTGATGAATATTAGATACTAAGATCCTCGCCCTGGGACCGCCTCCTAAACTCCCTGCCCTTAAAAGCTCCAGAGGAAGCAAACCAGCGCCTTTCCCCAGCCCCAGCCCCCAGGCAGGTTTTTCTTGCCTCTCCTTTTCTCTGAAGCTTCAAGGGCCATTTTTGGTCTCTGTAACTTGTTTCCTGGGTCCATTTCTCCTATGATTCACTTTTTCTACCTCTGTGACTTTCTAAATTACCTTTATCTCACAGTTTGAGTCTTGGCTCTGAGTCCTAGCCAGAATACAAGTACAGAGCTTGCTGAACTGAGGTCCAATTGCCAGTAACAACTGCTGCTGTTTTCCGGCCAACAGCAGCACTTTTTATAATAGTAAACACTGGAAACAACCAAATGTACATCAGGAAAATGGGTAAACTGTGGTATATAAACAGTGGTGTATATATATATATAATAGAATATTATAGCAATAAACCCAATTAACTGTGGATGTATGCAATAACTTGATTGAGCGCAGGAACAATTTTGAATGAAAAATCCCACAATGTTTCTATTTATACAAAATTGTAAACATGCGATTTAAACAACACATTGTTTATATTGTTTGGGCATACAAAATAGATGGTGAAACTGTAAAGGAAAACAAGGAAACATATATAAAATTCAGAGTGGCAGTGACCTTAGAGGGGGGCTAAAAAGGGGCAGGGAAGGGATGCAAATGGAAGGGGCTGTTAGGAAATTTCAAAAGTACTAACAGCACTGGCTGGTATGGCTCAGTGGATTGAGCACTGGTCTATGAACTGAGATTGCTGGTTTGATTCCCGGCCGGGGCACATGCCTGGGTTTCAGGCCAGGCCCCCAACTGGGGATGCGTAACAAGGAAACTGATGCATGTTTCTCTCCTTCTCTTTCTCCCACCCTTCCCCCCTCTCTGCAAACAAATAAAATCTTTTAAAAAAGTGATAATAATTTTCCTTAAACTGGAAGATAAGGTATCCAGGTGGATCTCCATTGTATTGATATTCTTTATACCTTATACATATTTTATTGTTATTTTGTACCCATCCAATATTTAATAAAAATATTTAAAATTATTTTAAAAGGAGTAATGGGATAATTTTAGACCATTGGCAATCTGAATCATGGTACAGACATTTTAAGAAAAACTTCATGCCTGAATTAAAATTTTTCTTGTGTAATCTGATGAATGCTTTTCCTTTTGTTTGACAAATGTGTAAACACAAATCCAGGCGTTTCTGTGGTCTGAGCTGTGTTAAGCACGGAGTGTGGCAACTCTGCCGGTGTTCACGGTGCCGGGCCTGCTCTCTTTCATTTCTCCGAGCGGGATTTCTATCCTGGCAAGTTAGGGGACACTGAGATGAATGTCTGGGAAAGACTTTTTGTGTGAATGGATGACTAAAACATTGACCAAAGTTTTCTTTAAAAAACAGAGCTAACTAGATATGATTGCAAAAAAATTGATAATGACAGGATGAGAACTTCCAAAGTAATTTCTATCCTGTCATTGGTTATATTCATGGTCTCACTGACATAAATATAAAATTAAGTAATAAATTAATTTCACTCATTTAAGCTTTCATGATTAAGGTTATAATATAAATAGCATATTAATACACATATAGCCTTTTTGTATACATTTCTGGCATAAAGCAAAGAACAATTTCAGAATAGCACTAATTTTGGTTCTTAAAACCTGTTTTGATTATTTGAATCTCTTGCACATAAACAAGACCAATATGTAATACCCGGAGCTTTAAATTAAACCTATGAACGATATGACTTCATCACTTTGGGCTCCAAAATAGACTACACCCAAAGATATGACAACAGTTGAACTTTGCAGACTTTTACAAAATCCTTTTATAATATTCATAATGGAAGTTATAGTGTCTATTATAAAGCTATTACTCCTAAAATAGCCAATTCAGTATACTTATGTACCTACCTATTAGTGCTTATTGAGTAAAATGCTGTGTGTTGCATAACACAGGTTGAGAATTATATAAAAATGTAAGATGAAGTACCTAATGTCTGCTAAATTGTAGCCAATCTGAGGGCAGAGGCATGCACACTACGCAACCATGAATGAATGGGTTGGCTAAAAAGTCTATTTAGTTTTTTCCATAAAATAATAGATACATTTTTCATTTTCACCAATAACTTTACTGATTTGGATCTTTTCAGTATGTTGCTATCTCCTGCTATTGGTTTCTAGTGGGTAGAGGCCACGGGTGCTGCTAAACAGCTTCTAATGCATAAGACGGCCTCACAGCAAAGGATTATTTGGCCAGAATGTCAATAGTACCAAGAAACTTGACAAACCACTTTTGACACAGTTGATCAGTCACAGTATCTTCTCCATACACTGCAGAAATATTTTTTTGTGTTTCAGTTGCATTTTTACCTTTTTTTCCCTTTTTTCTTCATCAGCATGTGGTTGCCTCTCATGCACCCCCTACTGGGGGTACAGTTTGAGTCACAACCTAGGCATGTGCCCCGACTGGGAATTGAACCGGCAACTCTTTGGTTCGCAGGCCAGTGCTCAATCCACTGAGCCACACTAGCCAGGGCTTCATTTTTACCTTTTTTGAAATAATAAAGCACAATATGCCAAAAATGTTGGGTATCTTCTTCCATCTTCAATATTAAAATGGCTACAGAAAAATTCATCAATTTTGATAAGTTTTTTTAAATGCACACTGATGTGACAGCTGTCACAATACAATCTAACCAAACTGTTTTGAATGAAGTTAAAGACAACTAAGTACTATTAGAGCCACTGTATGGAAAACATGTAACAGACTTTTTGGCTAACCCAATAAATACCCAAATGAATGTAAGATACCAAAGGCAAAGAAAAGGGCTGTTGGTGCTACCAGGGTAGTTAGCTAAGACCTCATGCATCATTTGACCTTGAAGGAGAAATGGTATTTAGGAGTGAAAGGACTAAAGGAAGATAACTCAGGCTAGAACCATGTAAGCAGGCAGAAATTCTTATGTTATGTTACAAAGGCCTTGAATAGAACAGGCTCTGATGGAGGAAGAACTGGCCTCTCTGAAGTACGGACCAAAGTATAGACATAGAGAAGTGGGAAGTGTGTGATGTGGCCTGTGCAGGAAGCATGTGGTGTTTTAAAAGACTGACTCACCACAGAGGGTGGACAAGTAGCTGGAAGAAGTCACCAGGAGCACTGGAAAGGGAGGAGGTGGCAGAGATAAGAGAGGAAAGACAGGCCTCTGCAGTCTGTCTGCTCCACCTCCTATTTCCTCCCTTGCACACCGCTGATGCACTCTCTGAACACTGGCCTAGAAGTGCTCCTCTAACTCTTCTTACATACCATTGTTTACTGTACCACTGCCACCACACAAATCAGAAACAGAATTCTACAGACTTAGTGGTTCCCACCACTTTACCACAAGGAGGACAAACATCTTACCTTCGCAATGAAGAACATTCGCAACATGGCTCCAACCTACCTTTCAGTTGTGACACCCCAACTGTCCACCTCCCAGCCCATGTTGACTGGATGCGTATTGTACACATGCCAGAGTAACTGCCCTAACAAAGCCCACAGGCTAGTCTACCCAAACTACACCAGCCACCTTTCCCCAAGCCTGGATCCAGCGCCCCGAATAATGGTACCAACAGGCCCGCTGGTAGAAAGGCTGCTTCCTCTCTCCAGCCTTTCCTGATTTATTGACCTCAACCCCCCCACCCCCAAGCACTTGCCTCCAACTGCTCTTCCTGCAGCTTTTCCTTCACTCTGCATAGGGCTACTGTCCCCTCCTGCTGCAGGCAGCTACTGTGACTTAACCATTTGCATTCAGGAAATATATGCAGTGCCCATAGGGATAAAACGGAAGGAAGATTATGAAGCTATCACCCAGGGCGTTTCTGATTTCTCACTGTTGAAAACACAGTACCTGAGTTTGCTTTGTGGTTTCAGGCCCCTGGGAGAAGTGCTCAGCAGTCGAGTGTTCCCAAAGCCCAGAGAGGGGGGTCTGCTCAGTGACTCAAGTGAGGGACTTTTACGAAGATAGGGGTCTGGTTTCAGGTCCTCGGCTCGTCCCTTTAGAAGATCTGTGTGAACAACAACATAACCTTCATCTCCTGAAGAAGAGAAATGTGACTGGTCTTCGTACTTGTTTTCTCAAGGACAATACAATTCTCATTTTATTCCCTAGTACAACAGGTAACAGACACAGATATAGGTTGTGAATAAGTAATACAAATGCAAATAGGGAAATGGTATTTTCTAGAAAAAATTCTTCAGGCAGAACGAACTACATAATTCAAAGGGACTAATGCCAAATCAGCCCGTGTTCGAAAATTACTATGAATTTCAAGATGGCACCAGCGAGCATCCACACTACACCCTTATTAGGAGCCTGTGCAACTGCACAGTTCACATGCCCACGGAGCCAGCTCTGTCCTCAGGTCAAGTACCTTGTTTTCATTGATGGGCATCTGAGAGAGAGGGCTAGCAGGAAGATGCCTAAAGGGATTATTGGGTCACAGATGGTAGCAGGCCAAAAGCTGAAAACCAAGAATGATAACCATTTTACATGTGAAAGAAATCATTACAATCACAGGGCCAGACTTACTAAAATTAAGTAAAAATAATTCCTTTAAGGCTCCTCTCTGCTGTCATATTAATACGAGTCAAAACAAGCAATGAAACGGGTTGACTCCTCCCGATGATATTTCTTAATGGATCACAAGAGTATAGAGTGGAAGGAAATTTCTGGATTGCCTGGTTTGTCTTTACAAAGGAAAGGGGAGCTCGGAGAATTAAGCAACTTGCTCTGTGCCACAGGCAGAGCCGACAGTCACCCTCTAGGATACCAAAAATTGTCATGGAAGAAAATAATATTAGCCCGGTTAGTAGCCACCAATTATGGGTAGTAAAATTGGGAGTGAGGCTAATTAGCTCAGAAGAGCAGAGAAAAACAGTTTACATCACTAAAGAAAACAACAAAAACAGCACATCAATTCCCTTTTGCAGCTTCTGATGACCTCAGTGTTGTTGAGGCAGCATGAAAACAGCAATTTTCTCGTGTAATCCTTTTCAGTTTAGTAAACAGAATCACCCACGTAAACAGGTGCCTGGCAGGGCAGAGAGGGTGCATGGTCAATGAACTATTTACTTCAAGGCAATCACTGTTGCAGTCTTAGCAATGGCACTGACCTTGCCAGTTAAAAGAATGGTTTCTCTACAGCAAGGAAAATTTTAAAGTTGGAGGGACAGAGAAGACACAAATATGACCAAAAGATCACCTAAATACATTTGAAAATGGTTAAGATAAATTCTGTCCTAGGCACCATATTTTTCGGACCATAAGACACACCTAGGTTTTAGAGGAAAATAGGGAAAACAATTTTCAAGCAAAAAATGTGGTACAATATTGAATAACATAAATAACATAATATTTCACCAATGTAAATGTAAACAGAACTTAACAGCAGCATTAACAACCATTATTTCTCCCAAATTGGGGGGAGGCATGTTTTATAGTACAAAAAATACAGTATTTTACTATAATTTAAAAAAAAAACTTGCCTAGATGCACCGTGCTATGCATGTAATCCGGTTATTCGCAATTTTACACTAAAGAGCAAGTGTGGAGAACTCAAATCAGGCAATTTTCAATGCTTTGCTTGACGTCCCCTCTGTTTCTAGTGAAGGTTCAACTCTTTCGCACAGGGTGACGACCTGCTCAAGGCCACACTCACCCCTTCTGTGTTCTTCCTTCCGCTGACCTCAGACTACCCACTGGTCTTCGGTTATAATTACCTTCTTCCTGGAGGTCTTCACTATGACTCGAAGTCCTACCTGAACTTTTATCACTTCCTTATGAAGCCACTAATTACAGCAACCTCCAGCCTCCTTACCAAAAGGCCACACTGTAGAAAAAATTAGGAAAATTCCTGTCCTGGTCCTCAAGCTCTTCCAAAGCTGTTAACATCCTCTGAGAAAAATGGCATATCTGCATTTTTGAGAGGAGTGAAGCACAATACAGAGAGGTGGAATAACTGGGCCAAAGCCGGGCTGTAGGTGGTAGGGCCAAGATCCAAACCCAAGCAGTCCCACTGCCTTAGCTGCTACTTCACACTGGCCCTCATATAGGGAGGTCCAGGGGGAGTGAAAAAGTGACGTGGTGAGGACTACAGATTACGGGCTCCACATCACCATCAAGAAGGGGATTTTAAAAATACGTGTAAGAGGATTATATTCAAAGACAAAAATATCTCATAAGAAACCTACTTTAGAAATTATGGAAGCAAAGACTTTCAGAATCAATTAAGATTTTTTTTCTTAAAATACTTTTAAAGATATTCTCCTGAGATTCAGTAAAAAACTCCTAAAGTCTGACATTTCTCCCACACACATGCACACTGAGAATTGCAGCTAGCAGGAGATAGGATCTAATAATGTTCATAACACACATACATTTAGAGTTTGAAATTGTTTGGAATAAGTGCCACTGATTTTTTCTATGCTCAGTTTCACTCAAAGAAAAGTTCACCCCACAAAAAAGTAAGTCAAAGAAGTACTTCATATTTAAGACAATTTACCTGAGAGGGGAAGGTCTGGAAGATCCAAGCGCTGAGTCACTCCTCTGCTGGCAGGCCGCATGCTGCTGTATGTTGAATGCCTCTAAAAACCAAAGGGCACACCAGCATAGGTGGTCTTGCACATGTGTATGCACAATAGTTCTCAAGCTCATTAGGGGCAGTTTTTAAAACAACTTATTAGTTTGAATAAATAATAAATGCAATTGGCACAATTCTCAAAAAGGCCAGAAAAGACACAGAAGTAAAAGAAAGTCTCCCTTTCATTTCCATCACCTAGTTCTTCTCCCTGTGGGTAATCATTATTGATTAGCTTTATGAATATCTTATTGGAATAGTCTGTGTATATTCAAGGATATGTATAAAAATACTGTTTTTAAATGGCTAACAGATATATTGGGTTGTTTTTTTCTGTAAGATGGCTCTAGTAGTGCATAGTTAGTTGTCATTAACTTTGTTTAAAACAATTTGGTTAGATTGTATTGTGACAGCTGTCATATCAGCATGCACCAAAAATACTTACCAAAATTGGTAAATTTTACCAATATTGGTAATATTGAAGATGGAAGAAAATATGTAACATCTTTGGCATATTATGCTTTATTATTTCAAAAAAGGTAAAAACACAACTGAAGTGCAAAAAAAAAAAGTTTTGCGCAGTGTATGGAGAAGGTACTGTGACTGACTGAACGTGTCAAAAGTGGTTTGTAAATTTTCCTGCTGGAGATTTCTTGCTGGAAGATGCTCCACAGTCAGGTGGACCAGTTGAAGTTGGTGGCGATCATACCACAAAGGAGATAGCTGACATACTCAAAACATTCAAATCAATAAAGTTATTGGTGAAAATGAAAAATGTGTCTTTTATTTTACAGGGAAAAAAACCCCAAACAGACCTTTTGGCCAACCCAATATAAGAAGATGCTCAACATCACCAATCATCAAGGAAATACAAATCAAAACTACGAGATATCACATCACAATGGTCAGGATAGTCATTATAAAACAATAACCACAAAACAGAAAATAACAAGTGCTGGCAAGACATGGAAAATTGAAAACCTTATGCAGTGTTTGTGGGTATATTAAGTATTGCGGCCACAATAAAAAAGAATACGAAGGGTCCTCCAAAAATTAAAAATAGGATTACTATATGATCCAGCAATCCCACTTCTGGGTATATATCCAAAAAATTTGGAAACAGGGTCTTCAGGAGACACCTGCCGGGCCAGTACTAGTCATAGCAGTCAAGACACGGAAACAGTGTGAGTGTCCGCCAACAGGTAAATGGATTAAAAAACTGTATTTATCTAGTTTCATTAAGTACTATAAGTGTACTGTTTATTTAAATTTAAAACAAATTATTTCAATGATCTATTGCTGCCTAACAAGAAACCCACAAATCTTTGTGGGTCAAAACCAATTATTCATTTGCCCATAATCTGCAACCTGAACTGGGCTGGTGTTGAGAAACATCTTGCCTGGTTTCAGGAGCTGTAACCCCACCAACAGGCTAAAAGGCCCCAATGCCTAGGGGACCTTGTGACCATAAGCCACTAAGGAGATAAAACTTGTCTTTTCAGCAAGGGAGCAGCCTCTGCCCCCTTTACTTCTCCCTGCTTGGCCCCTGGAGGATGGCTGGATAGTAAATGATTCATAAAGGAAGGAACAACTTAAGACAGGCACAGCTGAGAAGGGGCCATGAGGGAAGGACTGAGGGGATTGTAGAGGAGGGACAAAAGACCTTCACCCATTGGCTTTGTCAGAGGCGGAGTCCTCATTTTACCTATAAAAAATCTCCTAACCTCTTGGCTGCCTTGCTTCCCCCATCTGATTCAGGCCCGAAACAATGCCAAAGGAGGGTGCAGCCCTGTGCTAGAACTGGCAGTTCTTGGTGGTGGTGGTGGTGGTGGTGGGGGCAATCAGGCCTAAGAAAGAATGCATAAAGTCCTGTGAAACCTGCTTTGCTAAGAATGTCCTCAATCTATCGCTTCTCGGCCTTTTGGCTAAGATCAAGTGTAGAATGTCCTGAATTTAAATGTTAAGGGTCCAAGCATAAAATAGATTTGTTTCCCAAGGTTTTACAGCCAATTGGCAGCAAGACTCTACCAGACCCTAACTCAAAAAAACCTCCATGATCCCAGAAATGTTATCTGTGAACCAAACCTTTCTTTGATATATATCCCTATGCAAGCTAAACTCAGTAAAAGCCCACTGAGAGAGAGAACTGACACCTTTCTCCTCTGAGAGACTGGTCAGCCTTTCCTCCCCAAGCAGATCATGTCTTGGTAGACTTATTCTCATCCATGGTGGCCGGGAGGCTCTCCAGGCAGAGCCTCCCAACAGGTTGGCAGTGGCAGTTCTTCTTGGCCACATGGAGTTTTGACAAGGGCAGCTCAACTAGGACTCAACTCCCAGGATTCCAACGGGGGTGGCTGGGAGGGCTCAGGGCTGGGTAACCCTCTCTCGGTCCATGTGGCTTTTCTATCTGATAGTGTATTTGACTTTTTAATGTCATAGCTGGTATCAAAGAGGGTAGAAGTGGATGCTGCAAAGCTTTCTGAGTCCCACATCCACAAGTTACAAAAAATCATTTCTGCCACATTCTGCTGACCAAAGCAAGTCAAGGAGCTATACTAAATTCAATGGGTGGAGAAGGAGCCCCTTCCACTGGTACAGGAGTAATCAGTAGTAGCCAATTTTTCAGACACACTATCACTCAGCTTTTTGCTTTTGTTTTACCCTAGTAAGACCTTACAACATTGTTTCCAATAAAAGTGTGGTTTGAAAAAAAAGAAATTGTGGTATTTACATACAATAAAATATTTTCAGTCTTAAAAAAGGAGGGAACTCTCACATGCTACGACATGAATGAACCTTGAAAACACTACGTGTCATGCTGGCAGGGACTATACGGGTGGTGGTGTGGTCATAAAGCTGACCCTAGATCTTGACAGAAGCGGTAGCCCTAGGCAGGCACTTAGAAAGACTTCTGATTCTGGCAGAAATAGCAGTGCCACCTTTGAGATATTCTGGGAACTTTTTCTGAAGCACACCGTGGACTAGAGCCATCTCTTCCAGCCCTCCCTGTATTAAATTCCTTTCTGCATTACTAGCTAGGGTGATTTCTGATATTTGAAAATTAATCATGATATACGCATACAGAAATAGCCTCTTAAGGGGAAAAAATTTGTAAAAGAATTTCACTGTATTGTTTTCTTAAGTTTAAAATAAGCTAAATGCCCAACAATAGAGGAGTGTTTAAATAAATCACTGTACATTAGGTACCTTTAAAAAAATGAATGATTTCTCCAAATACTGACATTGAAAAATGTCTCTGATATAGTCTTTCATTAAATAAGTATTTATTGAGCTACTACTATATAACTATATGCTGGCCACTGTTCTAGACAGGAGATATAATAGCAGGCAAAATAAAAACCCTTGCCCTCAAGGATTATATTCCAATGACAAAGTGAAATGAGCCAGTGTCTGAATAATCCAACTTATAAAACTTATCCTCCCTACACAAACACTTTTACGATAAAGAAAAATGTCTAGAAGGGAATACAAAAGCCACAAACAGTCGTTATTTCTGGGGCTAAGGCAAAAGGAAAATTTCTAACTTTTCCCCAAAACAGAAAATTTTGGGAAAAGATACTTTAAAATCACCACAAAAGCTAAAAAATTGGTAATAATCCAAAAGTCAACCATCAGTAGAATTACCATAACAGAATACTATATAGCAATGAAAAATAACAAACTGCTGCAACACATGAATGAATCTAACAGGCATAACTTTGAGCAAGACAATCCAGTCACAAAAGAAAAGCTGCTGTATGATTCTACTTAACATGAAGTCTGAGAGCACTAAAACACAGCTACAGTGACAGAGGTCAGGATGATGATTACTTTTAAGGGACTACAGACAAGCTGGTGAGCTGTAGGGCCTCTGAGGTAGGTGTTGGAAGGGCTTGAGGGATAGGGGATGCATGGTGTGCATGGAGGCATTTGGGCCCTCTTTCTCAGACGTATGGACCCACCGGGCATAAGCCCAGCCAAGTGGTGTGTGGCACCTGCTGTGTGCCTGCTCATAACAGCCAACTGTGAAACCTTCAGGAATTTTGCAATTATTGAAATTAAACTTATTAAAAGCAAAAGTAATAGATACTCAAAACTCAATGCTTCCTAATTATCTGATTACATTGTACTACTGAGGTATTTATAATTACCATTATTTGTACAGTAGAAATACTATGTAATGCACATCTCTTCTCAGTGGCATGTTCATCAGTGTCATAGGTATAGCCTGAAACTGGCAACGATGGTAATATTTACATCACAGAAATTGGCAAACAGTACAAATCTAGGTTCTGTCCCCAAAGTGCCAGTTGTTAAATATTTAAAGAAAACTAGTATTTATAGCTCAATTTAAGTAAGTAAAAATGAGACATGGCCTATTGCAGTTTTATTAAATAAATTTGATGATTATTATAAAATAAATAATTGTTATATTTGGTTTTATAGATAAGGTGAGGAAAGATACCTTCAAAGACAAAAAAGGAAAAAGAAAACAAAACTGAAAAATATCCCAAACAATATACATAGCTACTAAGGACAAGGTACCTGTTCATAACAAGATCAATCTTAGCTCGGGAGGACCACTGTGCTGAATGGTACTCACAACATCAAAGCTCTAGTCTTAGAAAATGCCAGGAAGCTTTGGTCTAAAACCTTCAGAACACAGCACAGGTGATAGGCTACATCCAGTGAACTCTTCAGAATTTATAAATTGTAAACATTCTCTCTCTCTCTCTCTCTGAGGGTATTTTGGAAATTCTTTTGAGAAAAACACTTAGGTCAATTAGTTCAATGTTCCTTTCTAATATAAATTACAACCTTCATTTAACCAAAAACTTCAAAAGTGAAGCTAAAGAATAAAACAAACAAGCAAACAGAATAAAAACAAAGACGCTGAAATAGAGAACAAGTGGGCAGCGACCAGAGGGGAGAGGGAAGGGAACTTAAGGGGAAAAAGGGGGGAGGGATTTTGAGGAACAAGTATGAAAGACACAGAGATGAGGACTGGGGGGGGGGGGGGAATGGGAGGGAGGGGGGGGAGACCGGGGGGGGGGGGATGGGAGAAATAGATAAAAAAAAAAATGTACTTGAAAAGTAACTAAATAAAATTTAACCAAAAACTTCAAAAGTGTCACATTATGGAAAACAAAAAGAGTTATCATAATTTTATGAAGTTTATAATGTCTCTCTTGTGCCTTTATTAGGCATTAAAGGTGTAAATTTTAATGAAAGTTAAACTATTATTATTATAGGCTTATTAAAAAGAATGTTTAGCAGGCCTCAAAAAATGAAGCAATTGGTTTTTACTTCCTTTCTGTTGCTTGTGTACTGGACACTGAATAATGTGGGTAGCACTGCCCACTGGCCACGCGCACAATGCTCTTCCAATACCTGCATGGGAGAAACAGCAGCTGCTGGAGCGGTTCTCACTGGTATTCCACTCAGGGGGCTTCTGGGGGTCTTATGGACAGGAATACTCTGCCCAGCTCCACCTGCCAAGGGATGGGAATGTTTATATGTCAGTGAGTTCAAAATAGCAATACTTCCTGATTTCTTAGTTTTGGTGACTAAAAAAGTATCCCATGCTGCTAATAAAATATTATGCATACCATTTTCTTCTCTGGATTAGTGTTGGGGAATGAGAGGCCAGGAATTAAGTAAATGGGGCTGGTCTTATATATAGGACACACACACACACACACACACACACACACACACACACACACACACACAGGAAAAGATGTGTGATAAGGCTCCTACAACAACAAGGAGCAAAAAAATTCTTGCACAAAACATTATTGTTAATTCATTTCCCATCTTCATAGATTGAATGTAGTCATTGAGATTTCATGTCTTTCAATAATTGTAGCCTACTGTTCATCTAACATGGCTGCAAACTATTTTACCAGAGATAACCAGGTATATCCTCAGATTAGCTAGTACTACAGTCTTCCAAAACAAAAAACATATTTGTTGTAGTCAGGTGAAGAAATATATTGTTATTTTGGATAGACCCACATTTGTGGGGGGTTTTGTTTACTATATTTATGGGCGTACAGTATAGATATGCACTTTTCTCATATATATAGATAACAGTGAATAAAGGTGACTGTCAGTCAGCCAGACATTTCCAGAAAAAGGTGGGGCTACACTAAGTTCAGGAATGACAGATTAACACAGGTGCTTAGGTATATGACAGGATGAGGCACAAAAAAGTATAACTGCCTGTTGCAAGATGAGATAGGCCAGGGGTAGCAACAAGAGAGATGAATGCAAGGACTTGGTGCCTCATTCTCTAGATGATGAGGCCTATGGCTGACTCTGCTAATTCTCATCAGACTGTAGGGGCAAATAAAATGGCAGTGACCCACTGGGAACCACCCTGCCTGGTTTCAGAAGCTATAACCCCCCCATGGCTAAGGCTGAGTGAGAGACCTTGGGACCATAAGCCACTGAGGAGACAAAGCTTATCTCCCTGTCAGGAGTGCTGCCTCTGCTCCTTTTACTTCACCCTGCCTGGCCCCCAATGCTTGATCAATTAGGCAATGATGGGTAAAATTCCTCAAGAGGGGAACGACCTAAGACAGGCACAATCACAGGGAGTCCTCAGGGAAGGACTTGGGGGGCTATAGCAAAAGGGAATGATGGACCCTTGCCCCTCGGCTTTGACACAGCCTGAGTCCTCATTCTGTCTGCGAAAAGTCTCCTAATCTCTTGGCTGCCTTACTTCCCCTGCCTGACTTAAGCCTGAAACAATGACGGAGGGCAGTGCAGCCCTGTGCTGGAAAGGGCAGGTTCCCCGGGTGATCAGGCCTAACAAAGAATACATAAAATCCTATGAAACCTGCTTTGCTAAGAATGCTCTCAATTAAATGATAAGGGTCCGAGAAGGAACTGAGTTTGTTTCCCAAAGTTTTGTTGCCCATTAGCTAACAGACCCTGACTCAGAATAAGCCCTGGGAGTTCTCTGTATGTTATCTATTGTTTGATGCTTACTGCCCAACAGTAATTAATGAGCTTTACCTGTATTCCTGTATAAAATGAACCTAGTAAAAGCCCACTGAGGAAAAGGCTCTTGGCCCTTCCCCTTTGAGATTGGCCACCTTTCCTCCCCAAGCAGTTCATGTTTTGGTAGACTTATGCTCATCAGTGATGGTCAGGGGGGCCCTGAGGGCAAAGCTCCCCCATAGAGACCTGGATTTACTGGGAAAAGAGGCGGAAAAGGAATGGGGCAAGGCAGGATGAGGCGGAAAGAGGAGGCTGCATTACATGTGAGCCAGAGTCCCATTGTTGCCTCAGTGGAGCTTCAGCCAGGCTGCAGCAAGTCTCTTGTACATGGCAGTTTCACGTGGAATGGTCTAGAAGAAGCCTTGGGCTTGTAATAATTTGGGGCCAGTGTGGAGTAGATATGGGTGTGCTATTTGGGGCCCTGGTCTGAATTTGAGTTTTGTGTATAAAACAAAACAATTAAATACCTGGGCGTCCCAAGTCAAATGACTTGATAAGGGACTTGACGGTGGTCGCAGGCTCCAAAGGTGTTGGAGATGTTCTGTTGACACAGACACCATGCCACCGGCCAGGAGCATCGACCTCCAAAGGCTCAGACTCTTCATGCACAGGTCTGCAGGGCAAAGAGCAAATCAGATTGAAAAGCAGGGGAAGGAGATGCTCCATAGGGAAAATACATGGATGGAAACAGAGGCAACAGGTAGAAAACAGACAGCTGGAAGGAGAAGCCCAAATTTAAAATCCTGTTCTCTGTATCAGCTTCGCATCTTTAGGAAATAATGTAGGTGCTGCTCTCAATTTTTATAAGCTGTTTTCTTGGGAATGGCCAGAAATAGTATTTTAATATGTAGAGTAACATTAGCTCTAAGTAAAAAGAATGTGAATTTATTCTGCAAACTGGAAAAAATATATACAAAGGTTATTCATCATAAATATTTAGCCTACTATTTGTGGTGACTATAGAAAATTGGCTTGTCGGTGTGTATTCCAACCCCCGACAGGGTTGGGAAAGGTGGCCTCTCAGGACTCCCCTGCAACTAGAAGTTTAGATGGGATTTAGGGTCCATCAACCAGAAAGATGGGGCAAGGCCTGGATCGGGACTGAGGTGGGGAGGGGAGGCAGGGCACGGGGCATTCACCCTGCTGAGACAGATGGTGGCAGAGGCAAGACGCTCCTGCCACACTTTGGGGGGCAGCTCTCCGCCTGGGAGGTCAGGTTCCTGACCCTGAGGCCACTCCATTCATGGCAGAGGCAGTGGCTCCCTGGCAGCCCGATCCTGTGCTGTGACTTTGGGCATGTTGTTCCTGGAAGCTCAAGCAAGACTGTTTCTTTAACTCTCTCAACAATGCTGCAAGCCATTTAATGCCTGTCTGCTTAAACCAACTAAACTACGATCTATTTATACAACAGAATCCCAGGCCATACACTGTTTGCCCTTCCAGACCAAGAATGGTAACAGTATTCTGGAATAAGTAACACTACAATTCTCCATAAGGTGAAGCTTCTCCTCTCACCCAAACTTTCCTGGGAGTTCTCAACTGGGTTTCTAAATTTGAGCAAAGATGCATAGAAGAATCTTTTAAAGACAGATCACCTGATTCAATCCTCTCATGCATTTAAACAAAACGATTAAATACCTGGGCGTTCCTCATCCAGGGGACTCCAGCATGTCATTAAATCTCTTTATGAATGGTTTCCCAATCTTCTCATTTCTAAATCACTGCTCTCTTTATTATATCAAATTGCCACAGCTGTTTTGCAAGATGACTAATTTATGAAAATGGCTCAAAAAAGACTTTTTTCTGGCAGTATATTTTAATAAGGTCAGTGGGAGATTAAAATATTTACTTACTGATCTTTTTGAAATTAATCTAGTTACTCATAAGCTTCTGCGATTGAATATACTTGTCCTTAATTCTCAAAGCTTTTTTTTCTGTTGACCCATAGTGAGTGTGAACAGAATAAATTAAGTGAAACAGAACTTAAAACACTTAAATCACACTGCTCTAGACTCTTGTCTCAACAGCCCCTTCTTTTGAGTGAAAAAAAAAGCAAGATGACAGTTTTCGGAAGAAAATAGCAGGCATTTCAGAAACTTATAGGGGGTGGGTTTTAAATATCTGTATTCAATGGACTTGGTTTTTGTATTATTTTCCCCTGTAACTTCCCCACTGCATTATATAGTACAAAATCAGGTGGTGTGTATACAGAAAGAGGTACAATCAGGTTAGGTATGAGCAGAAAAATAATCTCCTATTTCTGTCACAGCCATTCTCAGGAAGGTCAGACACAAAGTAGGCCATCCTCTTACCAATGCATTTAAATAACCTAGTAGCTCATTGTGGTTTTAATTTGAATTTCTCTGATGATTAGTGACATTGAGAATCTTTTCATATGTCTATTGGCCACCTGTATGTCCTCTTTGGAGAGGTGTCTATTTAGGTCATTTGACCCTTTTTAAATGAGAGAACACCTCACACCTGCCAAAATCAACAAACGAGAGCTGGAGAGGATGTGGAGAAAAGGAAACCCTCATGAACTGTTGGTGGGAATGCAGACTGGAGCAGCTGCTGTGGAAAACAGTACAGAGTTTCCTCAAAATATTAGAAATGGAAATACTGTATGATCAAGTGATTCTAGTTCTGGGAATTCATCCAAAGAAACCCAAAACATGGATTTGAAAGACTATCTGCAGCCCTGCACTCACAGCAGCATTATTTACAATAGCGAAGATATGGAGGCGACCCAAGTGCCCATCAATAAACAAGTGGCTAGAAGAACTGGTCACCTATATAATGGAATATTACTGGGCCATAAAACAAAATCTTGCCAAAATCTTAGAATTATTTGTTACAGCATGGATGGACCTATGGTGTTAGGGTATTAGGCTAAGTGAAATAAGTCAAAGATGTACAAATACCATAAGATTTCACTTATATGTGAAATCTGAAGAACAATGTAAACAAACCAGAAACAGATTCACAGATTCAGAAAACAAATTAATGGTTGCAAAAAGAGATGAGCGTTGGGGAACTAGGTAAAAAAGGTGAAGGAATTGAGAAATTCAGGTTCATATTTACAGAATATGGGGATATAAAGTATAGCATGGGGAATATAGTCAATAATACTGTAATAACTATGTGTGGTGTCAGGTGGGGACTAGAAATACCAGGGGGAAACTTTGTAAAGTATGTGATTGTCTAACCACTGTGCCATACACCCGAAACTAATACAAATTAATGTTGAATGTAAGCTGTAATTGAGTAACATTTAAAAAAAAATAAGGAACTTATGCCCTGGCTGGTGTGGCTCAGTGGATTTGAGTGGCAGCCTGTAAACCAAAGGGTTGCTGATTCAATTCCCACTCAGGCCACATGTGTGGGTTGCAGGCCAGGTCCCCGGTAGAGGGCATGTGAGAAGCAAACATTCATTAATGTTTTTCTGCCTCTCTTTCTCCCTCCCTTTCCCTCTGTCTAAATATAAATAAAATCTTTTAAAAAATCAATAACTTGCTCCCAAAGGGCCTTGGAGAAACTTAGGGCACCCCTTCCTCAAAGGAAAATCATTTCTAAAAATTCATTTTCATTTCATTCCCTGATAACTGATTAAGAATGAAATGGAAATCCCATATCTGCTAAGGAAGTCCCTTCGGTTATCCAAGTTTCTTTGTGAATCAAAATATTAAATGATGTCAGAAGACTTGTTTAGACTCCATTAGAAAACTGCAAGATTATAAGAACCAATTACCCAGTCCTCCTGCCTCTAGTTGGTCAGTCTGCTTGGCTAGAACAATGAGTCAGCATGAGAAAACTTGCACATTAAGTAGATTAGAGAAGCTACTGGTCTTAATACCCACTATGTGATATACTAGTTTTGTATGTGTGCACAAACATGTGTGCATGCACTGATTCACAAAACAAAGACTGAAGAGCCATAAAAAAGTTATTAGAGCACTATTGGTTTTTAGTAGTACTTTCATCATAAACAGGCTTGAAAATCATCATACCAGCCTATCTTAGAATTATTTGGGATCAACCAGTAACAACCCCAGCAATAAATGAAGTATATTTGACCCTGACCATGGGTTTGAACTGCACAGATTCACTTATTCAGGGATTTTTTTCAATAAATACATGCAGTACATATAGAGAAAAAAACATATCTCTCTAGCTTACTTTACTATAAGAATACAATATATAATACGTTAACATACAAAAATATGTATTAATTGACTATGTTATTGGTAAAGCTTCTAGTCTATTAGTAGTTAAGTTTTGGGGGAGTTAAAAGTAATGCATAGATCCTGTACCCCTAATACAGTGTTATTCAATGGTTAACCATATTACTTTTCTTCTGGTTCAAGAAAGAAGAACTCTGTATTCTATAAAGAATATTAAGAAATGTTAAGCCCTGGTGTGCCTCAGTGGATTGAGTGCCAGCCTGCAAACCAAAGAGTTGCTGGTTTGATTCCCGGTCAGGGCACATGCCTGGGTTGCAGTCTGGGTACTCAGTAGGGGGTGTGCAAGAGGCAGCCACACATTAATGTTTCTATCCCCTTCTTTCTCCTTCCCTTCCCCTCTCTCTAAAAATAAATAAATAAATAAAATCTTTAAAAAATAAAAAGAAATGTTTAAGCATGACAGGAAATATATTAAAAAACCCAGCAAGGTACCAGTGTTGGGTAGACATGTGTTCAAAGCTGGTTATTCACCTCTAAGACAGAGGCTGTTAGGTCCAAGGACAATCCAAATCACCCCAAAATGCAGCTTTTGTGTTTCATAAACACAACTGATACCAACATGTAATCTTTCAATAAGCCTAACTCATTCCCTTTTCCTATAGTAGTTACCTTCTTTCTTCAGGTGCATCTTCATGGAAACAAAGAAAGCAGCTGCCCTTGTTTGAGGGCCATGTTTAAAACAACAAAAATGAGGCATGTTTCCACCTGCTACCAGCATGTGAAACTATGATGATGATAATTTTCACAAGAAATCATGTGTATGACGTAACTCCACAGTAAATACCATGTGTCTTAGAAAAATTATCTAAGGAAATTTTCCAGAAAACTCCATCATTTTATTTTTTTTAATATATTTTATTGATTATGCCATTACAATTGTTCTATTTCCCCCTTCATTCCCCCCCACGCTGCACACCCCTCCCCCATCATTCCCCCCTTTAGTTTATGACCACATGTCTGAAGTTCTTTAGATTCTATATTTCCCCTACTATTCTTGCCCTCCCCCCTGTCTATTTTCTACCTACTGTCTATGCTACTTATTTTCTGTACCTTCTCCCCCTTCTCCTTCTCCCACTCCCCTGTTGTTCACTCTTCAAGTGACCTTCATTTCTATGGTTCACTCCCGATCGAGCTGTCCTCTTAGTTTGTTTTAGGTGTGGTTGTTAATAACTGTGAGTTTGCTGTCCTTTCACTGTTCATATTATTTATCTTCTTTTTCTTAGGTAAGTCCCTTTAACATTTCATATAATAAGGGCTTGGTGATGATGAACTCTTTGAATTTGACCTTATCTGAGAAGCAGTTTATCTGCCCTTCCATTCTAAATGAAAGCTTTGCTGGATAGAGCAATCTTGGATGTAGATCTTTGGATTT